TGGAGGTGAACAGTTGGCTAGGAGCTCACAGATGTCTACCATCACCCACCTCAGAGGCAAAGCAGGTAAGTGCCAGGTGCACTGAACCAGAGGTGTCAGAGGCACCCAGGGCTCACCCCCTAGCTTTCTGGAAACTCACTGCAAGTCCTAGTCAGCTTCACCTAGCGGGATATCTGGCTTCCTTTCAGCCATCGACTCCTAGGCATGGCATGCCTTTTTTCTGGACCACTATCCAGAAAGGGCTTCAGGGCCCTTCTGTCTTGTTCAAGATGACCCTCACACTGAGCCAGAACAGAAAGAAGGCTACGGAATATTGGAGATGCTGCAGCAGAAAAGGCAGTCTCGACAACACTCATTCCAATCCTTGCCTTTCTTGGGAAAAGGCTGCTGTCCAAGACGGGGGATCTTCAGCCAAGCCCTGGGCGCAGGATTTTACCTGAGTTTCGAGGAAATGGTTCCCCAAGCCCAGAGTGCTCAAAGCAGCCCAAATACCCTTAACCAGTCCATCTTCCTCTTCCCTCCACCCTGTGCAAGGTTCTAGCCCATCATCTTGGGTCTCTCCAAGGGTTGCGCTGGGAAATCGGGTACAACCCACGTTCCTAGGAACACACCCACGAAGTCCAGAGCCCACCTTGTCAATCTGCTCAGCCTCTCTGGCTTCAGCAATTAGTCTTCTCCCAGATCCGGGTGCTCACCTAGAGAGCTCCGGGCTCATTAAAGCGCCGCAGCTCATTGCCTATAAGGATAACGAGCGCTGGTAATGCACAGGTCCCCATCACCCGGGCAGGGAACCCACACCGCTCAGGTGGGGAAGGGGGAACCGACAGAAGACAGGTTCCCCGCTAACCCTCTCAGGCGGCTGCTTCTGGACATGAGTCCCAGCTCTGGCTCCTCAGCTCCTGAAGACAGTGTCCGGCCAATGCCCGAACCTAGATTCCCTGGCTGGCAGGAGTAGAGGAGTTGGGTAGCAGAGAGAAGCCCCATGCCGCCACCGCCCACTTCGGGAGCGGTTGTCAAGGTGCCTGCCGGCCATGACCCGCAACAGCAACTCGACTGGCTTCCAGTGCCATGGCGCCGCCGACAATGGTGATCTCCACGTCGCCCAGCAGGTCTGTCACTTTGAAGTCCAGAAGTACCTTATGCACCCACCAGAAGAGCCCAAGGAGCTCAGTGCCCAGGCCTGAGGAGAGCGGGGCTGTGAGCTAGGCGGAGCCCTCAGCCCCGCACATCCCCCAAAAGGCCGCGGGAGCAAGCAGGATGACTAGTCAGCCCGGAATGCAGCCTGCTGAGCCTGGCTGCAAGCATCGGTTGGGGCTCCAGGAAGGATCATGATGAGGAGAGCTGATACAAGGCCCACCGCGGGGGAGAGGCCCCCGCCAGACTCAAAGATGGGCTCCAGCGGCGACATCTCGACGTGCGTCACCCGCGGACTCCCCAAGTGCGTGAGCTGCAGCCACCACTCACACTTGTGGAGTTTCCACGGCCATGGGAGCCTGAGAGGATGGTGTGCCTCCATTCCAAGTCTGCTTCTATTTCAACTTGTTCTGCCTTGGCTTCGGCCATGCCCAGGCCGTGATCAGGAAAAGGACAAGCTGTTTTGGTTGGTGAGACTCCTGGGAAACGTGGGACCCGCGAGCGAGCTAGGCGCTGTAGTTCAGAGCGAAACCCGCCCCTTCCAGGAGGCCTAGCCTATTGAGTCAGCTCAGCCTCAAGGCTTGTTTAGGACCCTGAGCAATGACAATCACACTGACAGACCCTCTACTGACAGACCCTCTGCTGCAGACCTAACCCTGCTTCTCTAGCCCTTCCATGATTGTCGGGGACATCCTGTTTCTTCCTCACTGTAACACATGGGTGCGGGGGCTCAATGCCTCTGCATCTTGAAACTTGAGGGAAGGAGGACTACCTGGCTAGAACAAGACAGTGAGAATTTTCCAATAGGATAGATTGTACTCTTCCAATTTACATCTTATTTATGAAAGATTTTAAATTGCTTCTATATGGCCCTATAATATTAAGTCCAAGTTTACTATTAGATTTTATTGGCTTCCATTTATACACTGCCTTGAATAAATGAGAAGACCATTTGGCTGATGAGCCATGTTTGGGAGTATCTCCTTTATATAAGATGGATGCCCACAAAAGGAATTATAGATGAGAGGACAGGAGAATTTTTAATACTCTAGCTCTTTATCGACCTAGCGTTTTTCAAAATGTCCCTTGACAATAATCAGTTGGGGAAAATAGTCAGTTGATTGGATGCTTGCATTGGGAACAATTTCTTGTCCTAGATTTCAGTTGTTACTTTATTGTAAAACATTATTCTTAAAAATAATTTGGTTTTAATTGATAGTCCAATCAACTAGAATCTGTTGTTCCCTGGACTTTTACATAATGCACCCCGAAGTATTAGAGATAAGAGCTCCTCAAGCTGGAATGTATAAAAGAGTCACTTGGGGATCTTGTTGAATGCAGGTTCAGTAGGTCTGCAGCAGGCCTAAGATTCTTCATTTTTAACAGTTTTCCCAGGCAATCCTGATGCTGCTAATTAATGGGTCAAATTTTGGGTAGCAAGGTTATAGATACCTTAACTATCTACCTAAGACCACATCTAGAAGATGAAACTCAGTAGACAGAAAAATGTGAAGTAATTAGCAAGTTTTCTAATGAGTGCTCTCTCGAGCTCTGTATAACATGTCTTGTTTTAACATCCTGGGCTCCATATCTTTTCAACAAGAGGGAATTCTTTAACAGCCTGCTTTATCTCTGGCCCTACCAGGTCCCTCCTCCCAGTCCCCAAATAAAAGTGGCACTACTCATTACCATTGATCAATTGCCATGCAGTGATATGAGCCCCAAAACTGGCAGATATTCTGATTTTTTTATATGAAATCTTCCATTTTTATAATGTTGGCACCTGATTCAAAAGGTAGATTAAAAAATGGTGTGGGTAAAACAGAACACACCTGTGGGCATCACTAGGCCTGCGGAAACCAGTTAGCAACCTCCAAAGAATATTGTGCCTTCCAGGTCCACCTACAGCCTCAGCCTCCAGGAAATGGTCTGCTTCCAAAGGAGCTGTGAAGCCTCAACTCTAATCCCTCATCCCTTTCTCTATATCTCAGATGCTTCCCTACCTTCAGAGGTACCTAGCCTCCTTTTTCCATCTTGTCCTCTACCATTTCTCTCCAAATTGATACATAAGTTTAATGCAATTCCTAGCAAAATGCCAGTGAGATGTTTTTGTAGATAGAGGCTAGATTTTTTTAAATTTATATGAAAAGGCTAAGGAACTAGAACACCTAAAACAATTCTTGGGGGGGGGGGGAATCAGCCTGCCTAAATTCATTATTACATAGCTATAATAATTAAGACTGTATGGTATTGGCAGATTAAATGTAAAATGTATAGCTATAAATCCTTTAGGAAAAAACACAGGAGTAAATCTTTGGAAACCAAGGCTAAGCTAAGAGTCCTTAGACTTGTCATCAAAAGCTCAATCAATAAAAGGAAAAATTGACTAATTTCACCTCATCTAAAGTAAAAACTATTGTCTTGTGAAACACCCTTTTAAAAAGATAAAAAGGTAAACTATAAACTGGGAGAAAATATTTGCAAACCACATGTCAAACAAAGGACTAACATCAAGAATATATAAAGAACTCTCAAAACTCAAGAGTAAAAAGTCAAATAATAAAGTAGAAAATAAGCCAAAGACATGAAGAGATATTTCACTGAAGAGGATATACAGAAAGTTAATAAGCACATGAAAAGAGGTTCATCATTTGCCATTAGGGAAGTGTAAATTAAAACTACAATGAGATATCATTATACAACTATCAGAATGACTAAAATAAAAAATAGGGACAACCCCAAAGCTGGTGAGCTTTCAGAGAAACTAGATCACTCATACATTGCTGGAGGGAAGGTAACATGGTACATCAAATCTGGAGACAATCTGACAGTTCTATGATTAAACATAGAGTTACTATATGACTCAGCAATTCTTCTATGTATACACCTAAGAAAACTAAAAAACATGTTCACACAAAAATCCTACACATGAATGTTCATAGCAGCTTTACCTGTAATCGCCAAAAGCTAGAAACACATATGTCCTTCAACAAGTGAATGGTCAAACAAACTGTGATGCATGAATCCAGTGGAATGTTACTCAGCAATAAAAAAACCAAACTATTGATAGAAGCAACAACTGGCTGAATCTCCAGAGAATTATGCTGAGTGAAAAAAAAATAGCCAGTGCTAAAAGTTATATACTGTATAATTCCTTTTATGTAACATTCTTGAAATAACAAAATTATAGAAATGAATTTCTGGTTGTCAGGAATTAAAGAGAGAGTGGAGATTCCCCTCTGGAATCCAAGCCACATGCACCATCTGCTGTTGCGTGTGCTCAGCTGTCTCTGACAGGTTAAGGAAGAAGCTGGAAATATGGTGGTCTCTGGGGAGGGAACTCAGTGGTCAGGGTTCAGGAGGAAGCGGAGGACTGAATCTAGCCTTTGAATACCTTTTTTACTCCTTGAGTTTTTTGCTTTTTTGATGTATTTAATTAGGTTTTTCGTTTAAAAAATTATTCCAGCCCCCTCAGGAATGCTAAACTTGTTCCATTACAACTGTCTGAAAAGCACTCGAGTCTCCGCAAATATCAGTTTGCTTCTCCGCGGATACTGTCCTGTAGTTGAATCTTCCGTACCTCTGGAGCTCAGCCTCTCTCTCCTAGGGCCCTGGGGAAAGGGTGATTCTATAATCCAACCCACCTCCGGGAGAATGCCCCAGTGCACCTGCGGGATCTCAGGAAGTCATAGGCGGCTGAGCTTGGGAGGCGAGGCCTGGCATCCAATGGAAGGGGCGTGGGTGGGGAGGGGCTTGCCCAAAGCCCTTGAAATAAGGCCCAGGCCCAAGCACAGTTGCCGCAGACAGGCCCAACTAGACCTTGGGGCTTGCAACCCTACAGCAGTTCCTTTGAGGCCCGCTGCAGCATGGCCACTCCCAAGCGGTTTCCGACGCTCGTGCAGCTGGAGCAGCAGGAAGGAACCCTATTCCAGGTGCTCGGTAACCTCACCAAGCGGCCCTACTGGTTCCACAACGAGTACCTGAAGACTCCAAAGACAGTTCACCTCGAGGCGTGGCTGGTGGAAGCAATCTTTGGTGAGTGGCTGGAGAGGGGAAGCCAATGCAGCCTCCTTCCCTCACTCCTACCCCCTACCCCTACCCCCCCACCCCGCTTCCTGTCCCAGGCTGACTGCACCCCAGCATAAGCCTCTGATGTGTCCCTGGCTACAGTCCAGTGCCCCTGTTGCCTACGCCTCCGGTTGCCTCCCCTTCCCATCCCATCCCTCATGGCCTCTTTGCCTCCTGCGCAGGCCCGGGCGGAGAGCACATCCCGCACGTCGAGTGTGTGTCACAGACGCTGCTTCACGTTAATCAGTGGGACCCTGAAGGCTTGGCTGAGATCTTGGTATTTGGTCGGCCTTCTTACCAGAAGGATGTGTCCAAGATGATCATGAACTTGGCTTACTATCACCGCCAACTCCGGGCGCAAAGTACGGGCCCGGGGATGAGGGGGACCCTGAGCACACTTTGGGTTCCTTGGGAGGGATCATAAGGCTTCCTGGCCGTGTCTGGGCATCAGTCTCAATCGCTTAGTCCGCCTGGGAGTGGGTTTCCTCTTTGCAAGGGAGCTAGAAGGCCAAATTGACCCCATGCTCTCAGATTCCGGGTCCCCAAGCCCGCAGTCCGTACGGATGACTCCTTTTGTAGAGAATATGAAGACACAGGTGTGGTCTCTTCACACTGCTCTTCTTTCAGGCTCACAGAGAGACGCTGCCCTGGAGACCGAGACCCAGTGGTCTCCGGACGCTGCCCCGGTGGCCGAGACCGAGAGGTCCCTGGCCACAGTCCGGGAGGCGGCCACCCAGCGGTCCCCCGACGCTG